TGCTATGACTAATCTCGCGTGGCTGACATGAACATCTACTCGAATGAGTGAAATATATGTATATATATATATGCGTGTAGAAATACTGAGGTCGGAGGCGTAATTTAAGATATACCCTCCCCACTCCCTGCAACCCCTCACCACCAATTTTAAACTCATACATAATTTTTTTCGAAAATGCTTAGGAGCTTCCGAAACGTCAAAAAACGAAGTTTGGGCGATATTTATTTTTTTTCCTTTTTGGCCTATTTCTCAGCCACCGCCGAAACATTTCAATAACAATTATTCTAATGATTTTAAAAAATGGCATGTAATTCTCAGACATTTTGTCACGTGCCAAAATCACGTACCCTTTTTTTAACTATTTACTTACCAGTAATTTGAATTTATCTTTATTAATGGTACAGTGCCCATGCCTAGGCCAAACCCTTTCAATAATTTTCTTTTGGCAAATTTCATAGTTTATTGATTGTATAATTTCACACGTATTATATATTTTTTTCTCAGCGATTCAGATTGTGTTGAAATATTTTGGACACTAATCTTATAGTATCATTAACGACTATCTCAGAAATTTCCTCATAAAATATCGTTGGTCCCTCGTAGAGTTGAGGCCGCCCTTTGGCGATCAGCGCCATTCTGTGATTTCTGAACGTATTATCCTCTATAATATTTGGATTCTAATCAAAATACCTTCTTCACCGGTTTTTCTCCGTTCCTTTTGATTTCCTATCGAATATACATTCTTCATGCTACTCATTTAACCTTCTTTTAAAAAGTTAGGTGCTCTACGTCATTTACTTTACGTTGAGGTTATGGTGAGGGTCGTTTGTTTTACATCGCGATTCTGCGATATTACGCCCCAAATACCAGTTTATGGAGTAGCACCCTTTTATTTTGTACCTTACGTTCGGTTGTGTTGGTTTGGGTGCTACCCCGTCCATTTTCTTATGGGATTTCAATCTGTAGCGTGGAAAGTAATTGCGGAGAACCACCATTTACACTCCTCCAGATTTGTTTTGTAGCTGCCTACTAGCTGTTTCGCAGTTCGCACCATTTTCCCTTGACAAAAACTCTGATGTGAACAGGTTTTTTTATACCGTAAATTTTGAGGACGAGGCAAGCAGCCCATACCTTGTGACGTTCTTCACGTCACTGCACACTGCTGACCCGAGCGTTTGTGAGCTGAGGACATCTAGGCTGCGCCTAGAGCCGTAAGTGGAAGAAGACCATTATCCAGATAAGTTTAGGTTCAGGCATTAAAATACTTGTGAAGCCTTCGTACGTGTACCATTATAAATGTTTTGCAGAGTTAATTATCACGGTCTAATAATTCTAATGCCAGGCAGTTTTGAATAATATCCTTTCTTTTAACTTGCACTCCAATGGTTGATCATATTTGTTGTTTGTTTTGATAATATATTGTGATTCTTTGTTAAATATCTTGTTTTATTTGGCACTCTGTGTACAATTAATTAGGTTTTGTCATTACTGTGAGATTCTTTTGTTTTGTGTGGGTGGTCAAGCAAAACAAGCTCCGACTAACATCCACTTTATTGAGACAGATCCTGAATTTGCACGCCTCTAGACAGCTATTCTGCATTGACTGTCCCTTATATTTCATTTATAGTGTCTTATCAATTCATTATTTAATTAAAAAAAAGCAAAGAGGAATCACACCACCATTTCCTCTTGTTCATAAAAAAAGGCGTGGCAATTTGTAAACTTTGCTTACACCTTAGGTTGTCTATGCGAAAGCATAGCAAGTATCACCCTATCCAGGTTATAAGGTCTACAGCCCTGTTTTATTTTGATAGGTCATAACTTGTGCTAGACATAATCCTTCATGAAATGAAAACGTCATTTCGTGGGACGTGTAGTCAACTACGTGACCCCATTCTTTGATCTGGTTGCACTCGCTGCCGGAATGCTTTATATAATAAGACCGATGCATAGCATCAGGAGTTTTACTGTTACGCCGTTGATACGTCGGTTTTGCTCGCCAGTGGATAACGTCCTTAAGGTAACGCGGCGTTAGTTTTGTGGAATCGATTTCAGTAATTAGTAGAATGCGATAATTTTATGCACCCAAATACGTTCGTTCATTTGTGACCATTTAATTAAGTTTCTAGCGTGAATTTGCGGGTGACAGCCCAAAAGATGTAACAGACTAAACGCAAGAGAACATCGCTTCTGTTTTTGATTGAAACGCTCTGTTTATTTGGACTTTGCCTGATAGCGTCATTGTACCGAGTGTCTCAATATACATATACAGGGTGTTCATTTGAAAACTTCCCACCACGGATTTACCGAAACGCACTGATTAAAAGAAAAAGTGCCGAAATACTCAAAAGATTTGCCAAGGGGGCAACCTTTTAACCAAAAACTACTTCACCCCCTTCCTCGTGTTCGTGCTCGTGCTCGTGTTCGTGTTCGTGCTCGTGCTCGTGTTCGTGTTCGTGTTCGTGTTGGTGCTCGTGCTCGTGTTGGTGCTCGTGTTGGTGCTCGTGCTCGTGTTTGTGTTTGTGTTTGTGTTTGTGGTTGTGTTTGTGGTTGTGCTCGTGCTCGTGTTGGTGCTCGTGTTTGTGTTTGTGTTTGTGGTTGTGGTTGTGTTTGTGTTTGTGTTTGTGTTTGTGGTTGTGCTCGTGTTGGTGCTCATGTCGGTGCTCGTGCTCGTGCTCGTGCTCTTGTTCGTGTTCGTATTGGTGCTCGTGCTCGTGTTCGTGCACGTGCTCGTGTTCGTGTTCGAGCTCGTGCTCGTGTTCGTGTTGGTGCTCGTGCTCGTGTTGGTCCTCGTGATGATGTTTGTGGTTGTGTTCGTGTTCGTATTCGTGTTCGTGTTCGTGCTCGTGTTCGTGTGCGTGTTCGTGTTGGTGCTCGTGCTCGTGTTGGTGCTCGTGCTCGTGTTTGTGTTTGTGGTTGTGCTCGTGCTCGTGCTCGTGCTGGTGCTCGTGCTCGTGTTGGTGCTCGTGTTGGTGTTTGTAGTAGTGTTCGTGTTCGTGTTCGTGTTCGTGTTCGTGTTCGTGCTCGTGCTCGTGCTCGTGTTCGTGTTCGTGTTCGTGTTCGTGTTCGTGTTCGTGTTCGTGTTGGTGCTCGTGCTCGTGTTGGTGCTCGTGATGGTACTCGTGTTGGTGCTCGTGATCGTGTTTGTGTTTATGGTTGTGTTTGTGGTTGTGTTTGTGGTTGTGCTCGTGCTCGTGTTGGTGCTCGTGCTCGTTTTGGTGCTCGTGTTTATGTTTGTGTTTGTGGTTGTGGTTGTGTTTGTGTTTGTGGTTGTACTCGTGCTCGTGTTGGTGCTCGTGCTCGTGTTCGTGTTCGTGTTCGTGTTCGTGTTCGTGTTCGTGCTCGTGCTCGTGCTATTGCTCGTGGTCGTGCTCGTGTTCGTGCTCGTGCTCGTGTTGGTGCTCGTGCTCGTGTTCGTGTTCGTGTTCGTGTTCGTGCTCGTGTTCGTGTTCGTGTTCGTGTTCGTGTTCGTGTTCGTGTTCGTGCTCGTGCTCGTGTTGGTGCTCGTATTTGTGTTTGTGGTTGTGTTTGTGGTTGTGTTTGTGGTTGTGTTCGTGTTCGTGTTCGTGTTCGCGTTCGTGTTCGTGTTCGTGTTTGTGTTCGTGTTCGTGTTCGTGTTCGTGTTCGTGTTCGTGTTCGTGTTGAACATTTTAATTGACAAGAGGTATCGAGTGATAGCTTGCTGCCTACACTGCTAACAATGTCAGCTTAACATCAAAATAAGTCATAACATATCAAAACAACTTTTGTTTGCAGTCATGGCTAACTATGTATAATCAACAGTTCATTTAAATTCGCAGTACATTTCCTATCATGTGACAAATTTTTTAGTTTGATTTTATTCAAAATTGGCACAATTTATCGATATTCAGTAAGAGTGCCTTTTTTATGTAGAAAACTCTAAATTTTCAAATTCTAAAATTGAATTTCAAAATTAGAATCACACAAAAATTTTTGGGCTAAAATAACCTGAGTCCGTCCCTGTTACATACGCTTCCAAGCAAAACTGTCTAAAATTGTTGATATTTTTAAATCCAGCATAAAAAACTAGGCTAGAATATCAAATTTTATGTCTTTATCTCAACACGTTTCGGAAATATTAAGGAAAAACCATCTTCAGGGGAGCCCCTTTGAAAGACCGTAGCGCCCTTAGGGGACGTTTGTCGACCTATCTTTATATAAACTTTTCTTCCTATTTTAAGATCTAGAAACCGCTGGTAGAATACTTTTTTCGGGACACCCTGTACATATACATATATATATATATCCTCGAATTTCTTTGGGTAGAAGGCAAATTATTGCAAAAGTACACCCTTATAACTTAAACTCGAGCTTTCGAAGATTTATGTCTTCATCGTCTGGAGCTGGAAGCAATTATTGACAATTTTTTTTATACTCCAATTACCACGAAGGCCTTTTTTTATACTCCAACTACCACGTAGGCCTAAGGCCTAAACACCCATGGGGTACCGTGGGGCTATAGGAGGGTACAGGGGAAAGCGGGAACGCCACACGGACTCTGGCGAGGCAACACGTGTGCATGCAACATGCACACATTCTGGCTCCGGCTACGAGATCCGTCGGGTGGTACCTCCGCGATCGACAGTCAGAGACCGTCTACCACCTACGGACAATCACAACATCCATAGCCAAAAGAAAAATTCCTCTTGGGACGGGTTTCGAACCCGCACAGCGCACGGCGACTGATCAGGAGACCGAGGAGTCTACTACTGATGCCACCGCTGCTCTCTACAATAGCAACAATAAACAATTAGGAGGAAAAATAGTTGCTTATTAAGTCGGCGAGATTGTTGCTGAAATTGTTTTTAAACAACAGTGAAGGGAACACATAGTCGACGATAAAAAAGTGGACTGATGAGGTTCGATTAGGACGGAATTATTTTATTATTGAATGGCAAATCGTTTTGAAAGGTTTTTATACTAAAACGATGATTGATTTTGGAGGAAATTTGAAAATTTGAAAACTATCAGCTAATGAAAGTTCCTTCGAGATTTCATCTTTTTTTCACCTATAACCTCCACATTATCCAACACGTGCCGGCCGACTGACATTCTCCAGTGGCGTATGAAGTGTGACATTGAAGTTATTGGAAGGTTATTCATTATGTCGTCACTGTGACGTGTGTCGCATACTATGTAGTGTGTTTTGTAATATAGTGCAAGAGGTTGTGCTATTATTGACCGACGAAGTATAAAGTTATTTTCAAAACTTAGCAGATGTTGCTTTGGAAGGAGTGTGATGTGTATGTTATCCTACCAAACAACTATGAAATCTGTAGGGAATATTCACACTTGAGGACGTATTTTGGATAACCATAATTCGTGAAGAGTGTTGAGAGTTTGCGAAAGTTTGAAAGATGAAAAGTACTGTCAGAAATGCTAGTGACCCTTCTTTTCATTTGTTTTACCAGATTTATCTTTATCTTAAGTTTGTGGTAGGATCTCAAATTCAGGAATCTAATTGATGCCATAGGCTTCATGTACCAGTCTACTGTTAAGATATTGTTGTTTCGGATGATTTTGAGTACAGGAATGGAACAGATTGATTATCATCTTCAGATCTTCATAGCGCAGTCATATTACGTGAACTTGTTGCTATGAAATTATCGAAACAGTGCGATTTTTTAGATTCGCTACATTCAAACCAGTTATATCGAACTATTAGAGCATTTTAGGTTATTGAAATGACCCTCGTATAAACCGTTACTTCAATGCTACTTTTTTTAGGTTAATAACTGTGGCATGCTGGCGATTTTCGATTGTACAGAATTGTGGAACGACTTAATTTTTCTTCAGCTGATACATTTAATCTTAGCCGTGACGGTTGAGGTTACCTAGGGGTTTTCTTCTCCCAAGTGCGAATGCAGTCACTAGAAAACTATATTCCTCTAAAAGCTGCTACACACAGTGCCGGCGGCAATGCCGCCGGGTTTATGCCGAGCGGCTATGCCGCCGGCAATACATGCCGCCGGCACAAGCCGCGCAAAGCCGTCAAGCATCATTCCGGTTGTGACAGTCACATAGAAAGCTAGTGAAGTGCTGCATTTCTGGGATTCCATAATATATCATTTTCATGAAATTTTTCAATTAAGAGCAGCACAGCTTCGTCATCCGAATTAAACGACATTTTAATTTGTTTGAACACACAAACCGCACAACACTACCGGTCGAATGCCAGGAACGAAGTGACGCCGGCACACCACGGCGGCTCCTTTGCGCGGCAAGGCCGGTGGCTTTGTATGCCGCCGGGTGTACGGCGGCTTAGCCGGCGGCCCTGCCGCCGGCACTGTGTGTAGCAGCCTTAATAAATAGCAGAGAAAATGAAAATCGTACTTCTATTAATGATCATGTAATTTTAGATCAAATAGTTAATAAATATATTTATATGATAAAACATTTTTTTTCCCAATTGTTGGAAGTATTTTGTCCTATAAAACTGGGAATTTATAAAAGTGTTCCGAGACATTAACGTTCCGCCGCGTAGACGCCAGGCGACGCAAAATCTAATAACAGCTTTTTTCTAGTTTTTTGAGAAACATTGCTACGCCTCAAATTTTATATATCTCCATTGGTATCCCTCAATATTTTATTAAAAGCTTCTTTTTTATAACGTCATAGCAAAATAGCAGAGGTAGCAAAATTGTTCGATGAGCTGGCAACGCCGCAATCTAGGTGACAAGAATGACAAGATCGTATGTCTATCCCGGGGTAACGACGGAGTCATTTAGTACGTCAAAGCGGCAGTTTTACAATCTTCATTTGCATTTTTCAAGCGGTGTGCAACGATTTCGAGAAAACTTTCGCTACGGATAGTCTTCTAGAGTCTAGTAGAGTATGTTTCAATAGTTGTCTTGCGTGGCCATGTTATCTTTACTCGGGCCGATGTAGGGATCGACACATTTTACAGATACAGGTATTTTAGGATTGATTGCACTGAAGAAATTCATTAACCCATAAATTGATAATAAATGATTATTACTATGATGTAACGAAAGATGAGGAACAAATGATTCATATAACAAAACAAAATTAGTTGATATCAAGCAACTTTATTTTTTACATTATCACAAAGTTGTCAGTGAGCGCGATAAAATCACACATTGCCATGATTCACGATATACTAGTAAATCACCAGCAAAAATTGTCCCTAAGCCTTATGAAACAATAATAAAGCAATCTTTTCTCTATTTGGCTCCAAAATTATATGAACACAAACCCAAAGACAAACCTTTTCGGAATACAAATAATTTTAAAAAGAAATTGTTATGTATATGGATAGTCGCAATAGGAAGATAACAGATTAATGAATTCCTATCAAAAAGTCCTTAAAAATTATCATCCTCTTCATATAGATAAGTTTTTCTTCTAACTTTTTTGTTTCAATTTTAGAACACATTAGAACGCACGACTGATCCATGTACATGCATTATCTTTCTATGGATTGAAACATGTATTAACCCATTCTATGTTCTTATTGTTCTTATATAATGTATGTGCTATATTGATTCTTTTAAAAAAATCGCGAAGTTGAACAGAAAAAGTACGCACTTCAACCCATCATAAAACTTGTGCAAAAACAAAATTTCAAAAAGTGCTCCTATAGCACCCTGGGAAAATATCTTCTCAATATACTGTATGAATTTAATTCAGAAATATTGAAAAATGGAGTGTCAGTTTTGAAGCAGCTGAACCCTTGTAAATGGCTTGAAACTCACTGCGTCGGAGCCGCCTTAACAACTGGACTGATGTCACGAATATGGCAAGAGGCATGTTAGCCAGGAAAACGATAGAGGACTGACACAGAGAGGAACGAACAAATGGGACGAGAGGATCGACACGTCCAACCTCCCCGAACTCCTAATCCGGTTGATCCGGGAAGGGAGATGTGGTACTACTACTACTACTACTACTACTTCTACTACTACTACTACTACTACTACCAAAGACCATTCTGTGCATCGTAAATATCTATTAAAAGAGCTTGTGTAGGATGCCTGTGTAAGACCATTTTATAATGTTTCTTTCTTCAAATGGGGAGCGGAAATAATGAGGCGTGCATTCATCTCTTTTTACATTCGCTGAGTCTAAATAGGAAACTTCAGACAGAAAATAGGTTTCCAGTTAGGGGACATTGGCGGTGTCAAATTCAAACAGCCCGTACAACTTCCATTCAGCTTTCACACCGTTTTACATTACCTGCGAACGTTGGAATGGATGCTGAGGAAAATTGTCTATTTAAGACTCTCTGACAATCTTTTGTCTCATAGGAAACACATTGCAATTGCAATCATACGGTTTGAAATGATGATGACGTAAATTAAACTATATATAAATGACACATTGGCCATGTTTGCACCATAGATAGCTAACCACGGTAGTAGTAGTGGTGATGTTTATTTGTAAAAGTAGTTTTAAAGTAATATGGCAATACATGCAATCAGGCTACAAATAAACACACAGTATTGGCTGAAGTCAAAAGCTGTTATGCATAATTTAAATATTTAATACAATTTAAAACAATAGCGTCCTGATCAATATGATCATTTAATTGAAATATGTACAAGGAAGAAGTTGCATTTCAATCAATCAATCAATCAATCAAAGTTTATTCAAATTCAAAAATCAAACTTGCAAATTAAAAACAATTCAGTACAATTTAAATAAAAAACAGTTACAAAAATACATGAGCTTGTATGCTCTTGCTACCCTGAATAAGCAAGATTGCAACAGAAATCTAAGCAAACATACTAGCATCAGATCTAGAACCAGCAAGTAACCGTATATGAATTGTGAAAATTCTGTATACTTTCGTAAAGGGTAAATGTCTGAATCTTCACAAATCCTAAATTACGTGTCTGAATAAACAAATCTAAAATTCATATCAATAGTACAGAAGCATGCGGAAAGCTTTGCTTCAAGAGGGCTTTGTGTTCTTAGGATGGAATAAGTCTCATGTATGCGATCACCTTCATATTGTGAAGTGTATAAAGTGCCACTCATTCGGTCATTCGGCAAAAGAATGCAAATCCACGGAAATAATATGTTCAAAATGCTCGGGAAGTCATATGTTAAACGATTGTAAGTCTGATGTTTCAAAATGTATAAACTGCCGGAACTATAACAGATCAAAGAAAAAAATATTCAATGTGATCATGCCACAAATTTTAGAGGTTGTCCAATGTACCAAAACTATGTACAAAACCTAAAAGAAATAGTCGACTATGGTTGATCTATCTACTGATATGAATAAAAACAAAAATCTTAAAATAGCAGTGTTAAACATCAGATCGCTTTTAGTCAAGTTTGTCGATTTCAAAAACACTGTGGTCAATTCCCAGGATTGGGACATTATTGCATTAACTGAGGCCTGGTTCAATCAAAATGTAGCCAATGGTCTCATATCTTTGGATGGATATACTCTTTTCAGGAACGATCGAGTAGACTCCAGAGGTGGCGGTGTTCTGATTTATATAACAAACTAAATTAGATGCAGCGTTATTGACATCATCTCTTCAGTTGACCAATTGTGGGTTATATTCGAAATTAAAGCGACGAGTCTTTGCTTTGGAGTCGTTTATCGGCCTCCTAAGTGTAACGTTTACGATTTTGTCAATCAGTTTCAAGATTCGCTTAGTTTGTTATATCGGAAATATGACAAAA